TATATCAGTTACTTTTCGTGGTCATATATTATATTAGATAATATCATTTAAAGTATTAAAGGTTTAAATTATTATGTTACATTATTAGATAATCGTTTTAATTTAGAAAAGTTCAAATTTTTGGGGATAATTTTCAAAGGTTGACATTTATTGGGTTTTCTATTTTGTGGTTAGGTAATCGTTTTAATTTAGGAAGGATCAAATTTTTGCGGTTTTTATAATGTACAGGGTTGAGGTAAAATAAAGTACGTCAAGAACATTTTTCTTCTCCGTATTAGAAATCCTTTCTGTGAGGGTATCACTGGCTCTTTGCCCTTTATTATTTTAATGGATATATATATATATATATATATACTCTCAAATAAAGTTATAAATATTTAGTTAATAGTTTAAAAAACACACGCACACGCACACAATGACATATTTTTCGATAAAGTATTCTGTATTAGGATTTGGTTTTATAAATTAAGAAAAAGTATTACTCTCCTTTTTACGTAAAAATTAACAATATAATGTATTTTAAAATAAGAGAATCTCTTTGGCTGATATTCATAGTCGGTTCTTATTTCAAGACTGTCCAAACTAATGCTTAAGATTCTAATGCGGCCCTTTGATTGATTCGTGACACCTCAAGGCTGAACTTAGGACGGTCTTGAATGTAAGAATTGACTATGAATACCAATCCAAGTTCTTTATATTGGTTATTAAGGACAAAAATCCACGAGGGTGTATCGAAAGACCTCCAACGCATTTTAAAATTATATATTTTCAGATAAATTGGATTGGATGCAAAGTTCGTGCAAAAATATGCGAAAACTGAAGACATGCAAACTTTATTATTAGTGACAACAAACGCATTAATGAAACTATGCTTTCATAAGTTGATAGGATCGGAATACTTTCCTCTTCCTTGTTGAGTTAACGGCTAATTGTGATCGAATATAAACAAAAACAAGGAATTTGTTCTTAGAAAGTTTAAAAGAAAATCAAGATAGTTGAATCAAAAGATGTAGAGAGATGTAAAGAGAAATATGGAAAAAAGATCAAAGCCAGATAATTGCCGTATATAGCGTTTGGAAAAGTTTATATATAACCACAATGTTCTCAATCAATATCAAGATAATCAAAAGTCTACACGATTGAAAATATATTCGAAATATATCTCACAAATATAGATAGAACTGTACGTCGTATACGTCTTAAGTTGAGAAAGGATGAAGATCGTTGTTGGAAGAACGAGTTGTTTTCGACTGCCATCCTGAAAAGCACTTAAAAATATAAGAAGATTCAAAACTATATCAAGTATTTACGAAAGAGTACGTGAAGAAACAAGAAAGAGAAATGTCTTACCACTGCAATTTCGTTTTGTCGTAGAGAAGCAAAACGAGTGAATCAACAAAGAATACAGCACAGAATATTAGTAGATTTGACGACTTTCTCTCTCATCAATTATTTCCTATTAGTCTATTTATTATATAACATCGCTTATATTATATATGTATACACACACAATACGAATATTATCAATTATCTCTTAATTATTATTTTATGAAGAATAAACCAGAACATACAATTTTTTAAAGTATTAATTAATGACTACTTCGCTTCTTTTGTACGCGACAGACGAATAATTCTATAACTAATATTTTGAAAAATAAGAAACAAAACTTCAAAATTTGTAAAAAAAACGAAGATTTCCCAAAACATTGGAAATATCGTTTACATGCTTCGATTGAGTTAGCGCTAGTAAAAAAGCATAAGAACTGCAGTGGCAGCGTTCAAAAGTAGTGTGTAAATCATTTCGGCAACGTTACTCACTAATTGTCACGGTGTGCGGATTGGGGCGAATTCTCGGCTACATCGGCGGACGACCGTCGATGGGAGCCACCAACATGTCACAGTCCGGATTAGGTGGACTGAACGACGCTCAAGGACAGAATCAAGCTGGACAAATAATTGACAGTCAACAGATACCTTGCCAGAACGGTCGTGCTGAGCCACTCGCTGATATCATAAAGCAGGATTTATCTAACGGTTTTGAAAATCGGACGATGGATTACGAGAGATTTACCCAAGAAAGGACACGGCATACTTCACTTACTGGGCAAGTTCAGGATCAACAGCCGCAGTTAATTTCACAGCAACAGCAACAGCAGCATCCGATAGCACAATATCCGTCAGGAAGAAGACAATCCGTAGGATTACCAGAAGATAAACATCCTTCAACGGGTCAATTGCCACCCCTGCAATATGATCAAGATAAAGACAACGTGGATAGAACTCAGCACGTGTCTCAAACCAGCACTCAGACGGTACCAGTGCAAGTGCAACCGCAATTTGCACCTGATTATGATCAAAGTCAATATCCGCAGATTCGAGGACAATTTGAAGTCAGGTCGCAAATCTACCCGCAAACGCAATATTCCGATAGAGTTGGTTTCGTGACAAGAGATGTCACTTATCGTGACCCGAATCTCTATGGTCAGAGTGGTACAATCAATCCGATGTTCACTGGACAGGGTCAATACGTAACAGTTCAACATGGCTCACAGACACCTTCGCAATCTACTAGTCCACAGCCCCCTTATTATTCAGGTGTAGTCGTGCCACAGCCACCGAGTGGTTACGCTCAATTCAGTACTCAGCCACAATATTCTTATAGTCAATATCCGCAAACGGTCATGAACGCTGTACCGTACAATCCGCACTCCGGTATCTATCCAGCTCAGCAATATTCTGGTCAACAATCGCCAAATCTACAAAGATTTTCACAAGAAATTGGCCATTATCATACGCAACCGATCATTCAGCCCAAATCAGTATCCCAAAATGTGACTCATGGAATCGCTATCCAGACGACTGAGCGATCTTGTCGAGGACCGAAACCGGTGGTACCTCCTCGTGGCAATTCTAAAATCACCACTCATGATGTTGGACATAGAAAGTCTGCTAGTGTCGATGTTCCGGCATTACAAAAAGTAAAATATGAGTCAAATCCGACTGCTCAACAGGATTCAATTCATCGTAGTGATGGCGCCATTATTGTGACGGGCGTATCAACCGGTTCGGAAGGTTCGGATAGAAGATACTTAACTACGATTAATCAAAATCCTAGGACAAGACAGGATGGTTTATACGTGGCTACTAATGGTGATCAGCCAGGCAGAGAGAAACTAATCGATACAATTGCCACCGAGTGCGATTTATACGTGTCCAGATCGGAACATAGAAAATCCGTGTCTGTCGATGTGACTACTAGCTTCCAAGGACGTAACGATACAATTACTTTTACATTTCCTAGTGATGGTAATCAAGAGATTATGTCGGGAAGGAAAACTACGACTGTAGTAGATGCAAAACGAATCGATACTAATCAAATGTTCCCCGCTGAACAAAGAAGACTGGATGCGAGTCTGCGTGTGTCACCAATGGCGTTTGATACGAGACAAGAAAATAGGAAGAGCGTAGAAACCGATAGAAAATCCGAATGGGGCAATGTGAGTCCGAATCAAAGAAATGTCATTCCTCCAGAGAACAGACGCTCGGATTATTTTGAGGAGCACCGAAGATCACCTATGAATTTGGAAGGCAAGAGAATGGAGGATATAAGGAGGTCACCTATGCCATTTGTACCAATTCGAGAAACGTCTATCGATCGTACTGGACAGAAAAGTCCTTCTTTCGTTAGCCAAAACTTTGAGAAAACTAGACAAGAGCTAGCAATCTGGGCAGAGCAACGTCAACGGCAAGAACATGAAAAAAACATGATACCAGGTCCAATATTTACAACAAGTCCTCGTTCTCGTAATCCGTCAGAGGAAAGAAGAGATATCAGATCAATTCACCTTTCAGATGATCGCAAAGAATCTAGAATATCTCAATCGGCCTTTCAGCCTCTTCCTAATATTAATCAGAACACTATAATGGAGCAACGTCGACATCTAAGACACGTTAGTGCCGATCTGACAAAACATATGGAACTTTCGAGAAAAGATTTTGACGAGCAACCTGTTACAGGTTCTGTAGTAAATCTTGGCTCGGTAGTTAGTACTGCTTCATCACAGAGAGCTAGTCCGAATCTTTGTCATCAATATCCAGCTCTCAGTGAAGCAAAATTGGATACAAAGACCGTGTTAACTGTGGTAACTGATTTTGGTGAGTCAACTACCAGTAAACCAATTGATCAAATAGATCATATAATCCACAGTCACCGTAAAAATCATAATACCTCATCTAACTTGCTCACTCATAGTAAGAGCCAAATGGAAAGCTTACAGAATACATTGGAGAATCAGAGTGAGAAAACAGACTCTCTTCATGTTAAACAAAAACAACAACAACAACAATTACAGAACCAACAGAGTCTCGATTTAATCTCTGAAAAGCTAAGCCAGTTTGAACGTCAGCAGAGCGATCTTCAAGCCAAGTTGCAATGTCTTCAGAATCAGAATCAGATTCTAGACAAAGTAGCGCAGTTTCAGCATCAACAGAGCGATCTTCAAGTCCGATTTCAAAGTTTGCAGAATCAAAGTCAATTGAATGATAAAACTCACAAGATACCTAACGATTTTGCGCAACTTCCGTTGATAAACGATACCGATCAGGTTCCAATAAATTCTCTTTCGAATAATCAAGAACAGTCATCAGATAAATCTTGTTCCACTCATCAACCAATACATGGTCTTCACCAAACGCTTCTGACTACGTACTCACAGAATACCACCCTTCAAGCCTGCCAATCGTCCGTATTTGAGAAACTGACGTCTCGCGTGCAACATGACATTTCCGATTCGAATTCCATTCAGATTCCAAACATGTCGCAAATGCCGTTACCATGCCTTCCACAATTCGATCGTGCCGATGTGCCGCGTACTTCGTTTTCCCAGTTTCACCAACTTCAGTGCCAGATCGAGAGCCACGAGAGTGCTTCAACGACGAATGCTAGTCTACCTGCTAGCTCCTTCACTGGTACGCTCAAGAAGATACCACCGGAGAAACCACCACGGACGTCCTTAATAGTGCAGACACCAGAAGTCGAGGTAACATTAAAAAAATAAAAATATTTGTATTTTTTTGTTAATTGTCTAATCCTGTTATTTGTCTAAAGCAAATTCTTTTCAATCCTATATGAAAACGTACAAATATAATTTTCTATATTAAATAAGAAAATAATTACGGAAATAAATATTCAATATTTTATATTTTACATTACGCATTAATTATGTTTAAAAGATTAAAACTTTGCTAATTGCAATCACAAATTTTAATCAAAGTAAACAGCAATCTATTTTAACATATCTCGCTTTTGTAATTAAATTAAATCTTTATGTGAATTTGTTTGTGTGTGCGCGTAAGGCAAAAACATTTTTTAAACATTTAACAGCAAAATTAAAGCATCACTTATTCTGCCCCCAAAAATAGGCAAATTTCAAAAGAATGTAACTTCATCAAAAATGATCGCAAAAAAATTTGTAAAAAAGCATTCTAAAGTTTGAAATCTCTACTTTAGAAAATATGGAAACTAATATTTCGATTTGATTAATTCTTTACGAAGTTATGCGGACACAAATGAAAGTGCAACAGATCTCAAAAATTTTTATTAACTTTGAGAAGTTTCATGGTGTGAATTAAAAATCGCATAAAAATTTAGTTTAAGAAAAAATTCGAAAGCGAGAATATTTACCTTTAATTTTATTTTTTGTTGAGCTGTGAACGATTTTTTTCACCGAGTTAATCAACATTAAAGTAAAAAGGACCATTTTAGCTTCAATGTTGAATAACTCGGTGAAAAAATATCGTACAGACTCAATAAAAAGCAAATTAAAGGTAAAGATTAACACTTTTTAATACTGTACATCAAATTTCTGTGTAATTTTCCATTTATGCCGTGGACCTTCACAAAGTTTTAAAGAATCACTAAATTTCTGTTAAAAAATTGTTGACCTTTGAACTGTGATAACATCGTTACAAAACAAATTCCATAAATACATTTTAAAGGATAAAGACTCTACTTTTAATTCGCAAAATTGATTTTCCTCGAAGATGCTTTTACACTAAGAAGCAGGATGTAAAATTTGAATGATTTATTGAAGGATTTAAATCTCAAAAATTTTACAAAGTTAAACGGTTCTATGGAGTTGCAAAAAATGTTTTTACCGCTCAAATTAGCATGAATTGAAACATGCTTTTTAAATGGCTTATTGAAAAATAACATTTTATTGACGTTTTATTACATTTCCAAAAATTTTTTATAAAAATGTTGATAAATGTGTCGATGAGGGGACCCCCCTCCAATGACTTTGACTTTGATATATGTTGTCATGGTCATGACCCTGAATAATCTCACAGGTTTTAGCCGTCGCTCATCCTTCGTTAAAAAGTTATTAACAATCATAGTTTTAAAATAGTAAATGTCTCGATCAGGGGACCTCCCTCCAATGACTTTGACCTTGACATATATTGTCCAGGTCATGACCCTGAGTAACCTCCAACAGGTTTTAGCCGTCGCTCGTCCTTTGTTAAAAAGTGATTAACAATCATAGTTTTAACGTATGCTGTATATGTATGATATGAAGTACTATTCTACACCTTTTCCTGTTCAAAAACGTTGCACTTTCCACGCGAAGTAACTTTCACCCCCCCCCCCCCC